GGAAGCATGGGAGGAAATGGGGAAACAAACGATTACAGGGTTTCCTTTTGAGGTGACAAAATGTTCTGCAGTTGATTGTGATGATGGCTGCAACACCTTTGTGAGTCGACTAAAAACTACAGAGTTGCACTTTAAGTATGGAAATTGTATAGTGTGTAATTACATATTTTTAAAAAGCTGTTATCTTTTTAAAAAGAAAAGTAGCACAGAGACTTTTTGTATATACTTTTCATTCTGTTTTCCCTAATGTTTACATCTTGCTTTCATCACTATGGCACAGTTACCAAAAATAAGAAACATGGGTACAATCCCATTGGCTAGACTGTGGACTTCATGCAGTGTCACCAGCTTTCCCATTAATGTCTTCACTGTGTCTTGATCCCTCCCACACTGCATTTAGTTGTCATGTTTCCCAACTCCTCTGATCTATGCCAGCCTCTCAGTTTCCTTCGCTTTCATGACCTGGACACTTTTGAAGAGTCCTGCTTGTTATTTTGCAAAATGTCCTTTGGTTTGGGTGTGAGGATGTTTCCTCATGATTAAACTGAGATGATGCATTTCTGTAGTACTTTAGAATATTACAGAAATAATGTGCCTTTCTCAGTGTTTCATATCAGGGGTACATGATGTGATAAGTTTTATTATTCGTGAAGTTAACCTTAATCACTTGGTTAAAGTGGTGTATCCTGAGTGTTTCTATAGCAAAGTTACTATTTTTTTCTTTTGTAATTAATAAATGTCTCACAGGAGAGATTTTGAGACTATCTAATTGTCGTCTTGCTTGTTGTGAAACTTTTGTCCATTAATTTTAACATTCATCAGCACATTTTGCCTACAAGTTATTCCTAATGGTGATTTTTTATTTCTTTCATTGCTTCTACATTTATTAATTGGAATTCTTCTGTAAGGAAGAGCTGTTCTCTTTCTTCATTCATTCACTCACTCATTCAATTATTTATACTAGTGTAGACTCATGGATATTTACTTGGTCATTGGGAACTCTTTCAGATTGGCTCCTCTGCCCTTCAACAAGTCCACATCCTTGTGTGAATACTTCCTTATTTAGTGGCACCAGAAGTTGCTCCTGACTTAAGTTATATTTCCCCTACCCCAGCCCTGGAATCAACCACTTCTCCAAGGGCCATTCTAAAATTAAACTTTGCTAGGAACTCTTGGTGAACGTAAGAAAGACATCTCATTTAATGGTACCTAACTTGGAACTTCTTTTTTATATTTTATAACTCTTATCTCTCTGGTCTATACTTAGGGTACTTCCTATTCATTCACATAATAGTTTTAGTGACTGTAATTTTTACTTGTAGAGATTCTATTCGGTTCTTTTCCAGATCATGCCATGTTATTTTACTGGGAATTAAATGTGTTGTCTTTCATCTTTAATTCTTTTAAGTGCTTTTGTGTTTCTACTTGTTCGGTTATCTGAAGGTCATGCTAGTTATTTTTGCTGATTCCCACTCATGTTGGACTCATGCATCATTACATGTTTTAAATTTTTTCTTTTGTCGTGACCTCACGTTTAGAGGGGCTTAACTTATTTTTCTGTGTAAATCTTTTGGGTTATGTGGTCCAGGTTTCCCCAGCTCACTACCATTTTTTATATTAATTTCTCAGCTCAGTGGTTTCTAGTTCAACCCTTACACTGAGGGCACTGCCCTTCAAGGGTGCTGGTTTTATGTGGGGGTCTCAGTTCCAACCCCTGCCTTATGTAGTCTGAAGGCTTTATTTCTTCTTTCCATGCGGGAATTTAAACAAAAGCTATTAGGTTATAGAAACTGATAACTTCCTTACAATACCTCAATATAGGAATTTCCTTCTTTGTTTCTAGCCCTGGGTAATACCCATCCCCCACCCCCTTTTTCCCTTTTTGGCTCAGTTATGTATATAGAATTTTCTTTTTTATCAATCATTTTAAGTGTGGCTCATCATATAGCTGAAACCACAAGTCAGTCTGTTTTTTGAAAACAAGCAACTTATTGGGTAATGTGCAGAACAAGGCAGAACAAGCCAGTAAAGGCCAGGACCGTGAGCCCGACTAATCTGATATAATTTGACAGATCTCACAGGCCTAAGGGCTAGTAGATCAAAGAGATGGACATAGCAAGAGGGTACCATGTTGAATCCAAGTGGTTCTCAGGGCCAGAAGATCTAGTCAAGAATAGCCCAGGTTGGGAAGGCCAGAGAAAGCAGCCTTCTTTACTGGGGGCCTCCCTCTTCCTGACTGTGTGTGGGCAAGCGCGGCTCTGCAGGTGTACCTTGCTTAGCTTAAGGCACCAGTCATGGCTGGATTCTAGGGTATTTTCTCACAATCTGTATGTAGAGCACCATTTCAGGCATTAGTTTGCAAACATTCTAGGAAGAAGACTAAAAAAAAATTTATGAACTCTTGGAAATAGCTGGAGAATGTAGCCCTCCTCCCCACCCACCGCTGTGGAAAAGGCAAGACCCGTTTGCGCTTCTGTACCTGGTGGCCAGAGATCTTTTCTGTTGATCTGCACAGTGCATGGGAACGTTCGTGAGGCCATACTTCCTCCTTGTATTTTAATTTCTAGAAACACTTGAATGACAAAGCTGTTTTTGACCAACCTCACACCTGAGTTAGTCTTTTTGTTCTCTTTCCTGCAGGATATTTCTATCTGTCTTTCTGTCGGCTGAAATTAAGCATATCTCAAATGGAACTTTTCAGCACCCATCTCCAGCAAATATATTCCTTTTTCCAGTTTCCCCTCCCTTTTTAATGTTCCTTTTTATTCACCCAGGACTCTAGCCAAAAATAGCCCACTTTCCAATTCATTCTCTAAATTCTTTGAGTCTCTACGTTAGATTTACCGTTCTGCAGGCTCCAGCGAGGTACTGGTAATCTGTTACATACTTACTACTGTGCTTGATAGCGGCGAACGAGAGCTAGAAGGCATGGCCATTGTTTTTGAAGAATTTAACATCTAGTTGAGGAGACAATTTACATTCACAAAAACAGTGAACAATACTAGACAGTGTATAATTAAATGCTAAATTGGGTGACAGAGTTTTAAGTGTAGAAATTGGAGGAAAGAAAGCGATAAAATCAGAGCCTGAATTGTAAGAGAAACGTAATTGTGGAAATAGGATTTGAACTGGGTCTTGAAACAACAGAGATTGGAATTGGACCGGCATTTAAAGTGGGGAGAAAGCAGGGACAATTAGTGAGGATATTGAGCATAAGATTTTTAGAAAACTTTTAGGCTGTTTATGTGTTAGGGACTAGTGAGCGAATAGAAATTAGAGAGAGGTGGGCGACTGCTTTGACTTTGGCTGTAAGACTACCAGACGAATCTTTCAGAAGTAGCATTTTGATTTTATTTATTCCCCAGTTCAGGAATCTCTAGGGGCTGCCTTTTCTTTTGGATTCTGGTCCACACTGCTTTGGTATGCCAGGTACTCTGACCCACGAGCCTTTCCTCACTGGAACGCATGCTTTTTGTGCCTACAACATACTTGTTTTTGGTGTATTTTGACTTCAGCTTTCCATTTCCTGGTGGATTTTCTGCTGATTTCTGTCCATTTCTTTTTCAAGTCCCATCTCAAGACTGCCTCTTGACATCCTCTCTGATGACTCAGAGAATTGTTTTATTTTTAAATTTCAAATACTGATGATTTGTAATATTAGAGCTACTTCTTTGTATAAATGTGCCTACTACCATGCCTGGCATGTAGTACTGCCCTTACTTGGTAAATGTTACTGGAGTCCAAATTTGTAATGAGTTCCAAGTAAAAGAACTTTTTTTTTTTTCTTTTTTTTTTTCTGTTTCACGGAAAGTAAAAAATAAGAGCAAAAGCACTAAATCCAAGTTTTCTGAGATACTTTCTTCTGTCTTCTCCTTTGAGCCTCTCCTTAAACTGTGTTCTTAAGTATATATTATTCATTTATCTTTGACATCTTTTCACTGACTACCTCCTATAGCTTTTCTAAATAATTTATGTGTGTAGATGGAGATAAATTGTATGTGTTAATTCAAGCTTAAGAGAAGAGATTGGAGTATTTTAGAAAGATTAATCCTTGTTAAACTCTCTCTAATTGACCTTTGTTGGCACTGCTCCTGCCTGAGTTTTAAAATGTTAATAAAATACCTATAGGTGATCACCTGTTGTAGTTGGAATTGAACTTAAGATATTAGAATATCCATAAAACCAGATATTAAAATGAACTAAGAACACTCAGTTAAAGGAAATTGGGCTTAAACATTTTTGTCGGGCTTTAGTTTTTTATTTTACCCCTTAACAGCTTCTTAAGAAATCTGAGATGACTTTTAAGACACAGTCTTAAATTTGTCTTTGAAATAATATAGTTATTCTCCTACCTTCTTTCAGAGCTTGTGAGCTGATGGGACAGTGTTCAGTTTACTGCAGTAGCATCCCAGTTTTCTGAGGGCTGTGGGTGCCCGGCGTGAGGATTGCCCTGGGTCGTCTCGCCTTCTTTGTTTCCGAGCCTGCTGCTTCCACAGTGGCCGCAGCTAGCCTGAATTGGATATCGTGTGCATGCATGTGTGTGAGAGAGACAGAGGGGTTTCTCCTCTTGGTTAACAACAAGAACAACAAAAGTCAAAAAGCAATTGTATGAGGCAGGCTGGGCCTCCTTTGACAGCAGTTTATATTGGTTTAAATCATTTCTTTTGAGGGCAATATCTTATCAAATCTTGACTCCCAGGAATGTTCCTGTTCTTTTCTTGTTTCCTTATAATAAAAGATAGTACTCTTGCCGTAGCCTAGGGAGTACGGTCAGTGAGAGTGTAATAACTATGTACGGTGCCAGGCGGGTATGGACTTACTAGGGGGATTGCCTCCAAGTTACATGAGTGTCTAAGCACCGTGCGCACGCTTGGAACATACAGCAGCGAATGTCCACTGTAATTAAAAGTAACAAATTTAAATAAAGATAGTGCCATTTACTGGTGCTGCCACAGGAACTGGGACTTTGTTAGGCACTGGCTTTTTATTTTGCTTTATAGGTGGTTTGTATTCGCTCCACCTGGAATGCGCTCTCCCCGAAGCTCAGCTGTGACACGAGGCCTCTCATCCTGAAGACGCTCAGTGAGCTGTTTTCTCTGGTTCCTTCCTTAACAGTCAATACAGCTGAATATGAGGTATGCGATGGGAAAGACATGTGCTTTATAATAACTTTATCTGTACTGTTCTAAGAACATTTATTTCTATTTTATACTGCAAGTGTATGTATGCATATATTATTTTCCCCATTAAATTTGAAAATAGAGTCCGTGTTTCAGTTCGTGTATTTTCTGAATTGCTTTGCAAAGTGCTTGGTTCATTTATTCATTGACTCAGAATACATTTATTAAAACTGTACTGGGCCTTAGAGATATTAATAAATAATAATAGATACTATTTTAAAGTACCTATTACATATTCCTAGCACTCTTCTAGTTACTTTATACCAATTAGTTCTAATGTCTGATAGGAAGATATTATTTTTCATTTTATAGCTAAAAAATCTGTCGTTGTTAAAGGTCCATCTATTCATTAAACAAATAATTGTTGAGTATCTGCTACATGCCAGACAAGTAACTTGACCAGCAGCTGGTAGTTTCTAAGTGACAGCTGATGTCTAAGCCCAGGACCTTCTAGCTCAACAGCCTATATTTTTCCATTACGCGGTGCTGTCAGTCCCTGCCTTCCCAAAGCTCAAAGACTGGGAAAGAAGGCAGGCATAAGCAATAATAATTATTTGATGAGTACAGTTCATCACAGGGCTATGAGAGTGTAGTGTGGAAGTGACCAGCGTTCAAACGAAGAATCTGAGTTAAACCCTATTTAATTGGTGCTGTTAGACCAGGATCTTGAGGAATTGATGGAATATTGCTTCCCATGAAGTTTGGGGAATAGAACATGCAAAGGCAAGGAGGTATAGTAGAACCTTATATAATTTAGAAGGGTAAGAAGTTAGAAGTTGGAAGACAATTTTATGCATAATTATTTGTTAAATATTTATTTGAGGAACCAGACTTTCTTTATGTTCTGGGCTTTATGGTCTAGGCCTTTAAATGAAGAAAACAATGACTATCTAAAGGCATATACAACCCAGTAGGGAGTTAACTACACTAGATGCTAAGGTGTGCCCTGAGGCATCTGATCGTTTGGAGAAGGGAGATTCTTCTAGGTAGGGAATGGGAACAGTGGAGTGAGAGAGGGGTGTGTCGATCCTAGTAGGATTTGCAAGGTCAGTAAGAAATAGTTAGGTGGTGAAATTTAATAATCTTAAAATCCCATTGTGTTTAAAATATCCATGTATTTAAGTGATGAGTCTGTTTCTGAGTATTTGCATTTTATGAATGATGAGTAAATAAAGGTTAAGTCAGTTACTAGTTAAAGTGATTTGGTTTCCACTGTTTGCTACTTTAGATTGTTTATATTCAGTTTTACCTTTGTCTCAAAACTTTATTCTGATGTTTGTTGATTTTTCAGAATTTCAAAGTTCAAGTCCTCAGCTTCCTCTGGACTCACACCCAAAACAAGGTACTATCACAAGGGGTGTCAGTGAAACAGAACCAAGCTGGGGAAAGGACTATCATATAAAGTTCTTAGAATAAAACAAAACTCCCTTGAAATGTTGGCTTCTTGATTTTAAAAGAACTGTGACTATTCATAAGTTTAGACTTTAAAAAGTATTCTCAATTTTCTTTCATTAATATGCTTTCACCATAAAGTGCACATATTACTTTGTGAAGCTGACATTTGTCTGAAGAGGGATGGTTGTCATTGTCTCATATTTTTAATGGTCCTTCCTCTTTCCTGCTTTGTCCCTCCCCCACCAGCAAGCATATCAAACAAGCAAAAACCCAGTCCATTTTTTAGATGTTTCTAATCAAGGAATTTAGAGAAGAGGGTCTGGGTGATGTTATACCTGACTCATGAGTGAAAGAGCTTATATTCCGAAAGGCTCACTTTCCCTGCTAGTAGCTGGAGCAGCAGAATCCAGCTCCAGGCCTATCAGACTCTACATACTCATCCACCTTCCACTCAGCTACACTACCGCATGGGGCCTGAGCGATTGTGAGTTACTTTATGTTTAATGTTAAAACTAGCATAAAAATTTACTGCTTCTGATCCCTCTACCCAATGCTTTTCTCTCTGTTTTCTATTGGGACAGATGAAGCAAGTTAATACCATTTCCAGAGCACTGACAATAGAACTTTGAGGTTGGTGAGGGGAGGTTTTCTTCGGCCAGAGTTGATGTTTAATGTATGTTGTTTCTCTTGTTCGTTTTACTTTTATCTTATCCAGGACCCAGTTGTAGCAAATGCTGCATATCAGTCTCTGTCCCACTTTAGTGCCAGAGAGCACACCATCCTTCATCTGCCCGAACAGGTAGGCCTACCTGCTTTCTCACTGGTGTCTCTTTCCTGGTGGGTTTTACAACTTTATTCGTATCCCTGCCCCTCTTAGGAGATTTGTACCTGATGGATGTATATGTAACTAGATATGTGATCTATAAAAGATAAGAATTTACATTCATTACCTGTTTAATCTGTAATGATCTTAGACCGCAGCAGTGGTAGACATCCCAGATTATGACTTTAAATCTCTTTGGAGAAGACGGAAGACACCTGTGGGGTAAATGAAGCCTCTCTATGGTGACTGGGCGCAGGACTGCACGCCAGCGCCGTGCTTACTCCAGAAGATCTAGGCCACCGCAGCAACCACCTTGTCAAGTTAGGGTGCCTTCCTGGGCTTCAGGTCCAAGCATGGCCTGCGCAGGGTAAGATGTGTACCACCTGTGCAGCCAGAGATCTTCGTGATATAAAATTGAGATGCCATGTGGGAAAAAAAAAATCTGCTGTTGATTAGTTTAGTGTGAAATGATGTGTAGGTTAGCACCAGAGAGCTGGATAAGGAAAGTGTTACTCTTTTAAGGGTTAACATGTAGTCTTATATTATCTTAGTATTTAGACTAAACTAAAAATACACAACCTTTCCTAGTATCTACCTGATATAGCCAACTTTAAATTAGGTTATATTGGGAGTGAAGTGTCTGATTTCACACTGAGTGCTATGCTACTACTAATTCAAATGCATTCGAGTGCACAAATGCCTTTAGAGTGTGAGGCAGACATTCTACTAGAAGTTATGTGTAACATTACTCGGAATCTGTCCTTGAGGCCAAACGGCAAGAAGTTTTAGTGTGAATTTCTTGGGATCCTCGGGCATTAAAATGGATTTTCTTTCTCTTCTAGATTGAGGTTATATGGAGATTAGATGCTAGGAAGAACCAGGCAAACTTCTGTCTATTGAATTGAACAGGAGCCACCACATAAGTGGGCCTGAAGGACAGGCTCTTGTAAAACCAAATTCTAAGTAAGGCAGGATTTCCCAGGTTACTGAGGACTCCCAAGACAGATGGCCACCTTGTCATGCAGTTATCACAAATGGGAAGCCTTAGGAAAAAGTGTTATGACTCATAAAATTAAAAAAAGGTGGGACTTCAGACTGCACTCTGGTGACTAGCAATACCCATAGCTGGAGGGAGGGAGGGAGGGAGGGAGGTTGAAAAAAAAGCTACATGTAAATTTGGTGTGCAGACTCCTACCAATAGATTAGCTGTACCATCTGGAAAGATACCTTTTATTATTATTATTTTTAATAAGCAATTGCTAATTTACATCACAGCATACCAACTGCCTTTACTTTTAGCAATTATTCTAATATTATTCCAGCTGGAATAAATGGCTTTTGTTAATCAACTTTCATATCTACTGGGCTGTTTCGTCTCTACCTTTTTCAATATTAATATGTTCGGGGTTTTTTTTCTTACTTTAGGGTTAATCCAGTTTCTGATTATGGTTGTTAGAATTTATACTCAAATAAGTGCTATACTCAGTCAACTATTAGGTACTTTCTTAATCTAACTCTTCTGTATCATCTGCTCCCAATAGCCATAACAGCTCTTCCTACCTCCCGACATAAAGGGTAGCGATGCACGCAGAGGTGGGGTTTCTGTGTATGCTTGGTGTTCACCATCAGCACATGGGGAACTGTGAAGGGGATCGCTGAAGCTTATCCTTTTTGGCCATACTTTTCAACCTTTTTTCTGCCCTAACCCCCTTCTGGGATATGAGCAGCGGTTCACTGTTGTGAATGTTTTCAAGTGGAATTAAGATGAAGGGACAAAGTAGTTTAAAAGAGTCTACCTCTGACGCCCGGCTTCTGACCTGGAGGACCTGCCCCCTCACGGAGAATCATTGCTCCCAAGACGGCACCGGTGCATTCCTCTTCTTTTTATTAATGGTTTTCAGTTTGGCCACTTGAATACCTGAAACTAAAAGTCCAGAAAGCGGTCAATGTATTCATATTCCAAACAAGTCCCCAAAGTCCTCAAAGGCTAAGGAGACAACCAAGTCGGCGCCCCACCTCTGCTTTGTAGATGATGACAGTGAGGAGAAACTGAGACTCATTTTCCAGAAAAGCTTGTTTTCAGCTGTTTTAAAGTCCCTGCCAGGTAGGGACTTCTGTAATATAGAAATCAAGATTCCTGTTGTCAGAGACTACTCTGCATCGAGGGCCATGGCCGTTACCACGAAGCTGAAGGGCGCCTGCACTTTCCAGTGGAAGTAGGCCCTCTTCCTCTTTTTCTGCTTGCGGAAACTTGCGAAATAATTTTCAAAGTGAGCACAATATGAATTACAGGCAGAACTTTTTGTTTTTAAAAAAAGAGATATAATGCATCCTTATCAACATAGCTACATTTGTGGATTATAATTTAGCTACTCTTGTAAGCACTACCCTTCTTTAAATTTACTAAAGAAGGATTTCTTGTTGATTGATGCATTAATTTAAAACTGTGAAATTTGTTTAAAAGCCAACAGGCTGGTAGAACAAAAGGCATTAGAGGAGTGGCAGACATCAGGAAAAAAATTTAGGGTTGAATAAGACATTGCAGCTAAGGCTAGATGGAAGCCAAAGAACATATGTGCATAACCCATGGACAGCAGTGTGGTGAAGGCCTGGGGGGTGGAGTAAAGGGAGGCGATGGAAGAAAGAAGGGGGGGACATAGGTAATACTTTTGATAATAAAGATAAATTTTTTAAAAATGTCCATGGACAGTAGATAATGCATGAGATACCAGGTGAGTTAGGGATTTGAATATCAAATCTGGTAACTCATCTTTCTTGCCACTGGTTTATTTTTAGGAAGTTTTGTGAGATTATTGGTGATAGACACTTAACACTTGCACTGATTTAATACTTATTTATTGGACATATACTAAGTGCGAGGCAAGCCATGTGTTTTGTTGGTTTGTAAAAATACTGTTAATTACCTGAAACTTGCAAATCTGAAGTTGGTGCAAAAAATTTTCGGGGCTTCATCGAGGACCTGTTCATTCTAATGTTAAAAAACAGACATGAGTGCTTGCTCCCTTTTAGTTTGTATTTCTTTGTTCTTTTTAGCTATTTATCTTTCTCTGCTTTCTTTAGTGAAAGAAAAAAAAAAAATCAACCTCAAAAAGACAACCAACCAAACAAAAAAACTGTAGGGAATTATTTTCCTGATAAAACAATCAGTAATGGATAAACATTTAGGTAGAAGATTGACTCTCCTCTCTGACCTGGGTTCATTAAAAAATATTTAGCTATTTAAAAACTAAACTTTTTATTATAGAGATCTTCAGATAAATTGTGTTGTTGATTTCTGGAGTTAATTTTAGAAGCAAGTAATATAAGAGGACTCATTATGCATGCTGAGTGGGTATTAATATGGTGTAACCTGTTCGGCTTTGATTTAAGTGAATGTCACTGCATTCATCAGAAGCTGTTTCTCTTTTGAAATGAATTTATGCAGATACTTGACGTGTTCCAAATAAAATCCTCTCTTTCTCCACAAACTCCTGGATTTTCATAGGTTACACACAAAGGTGGTTGAAAGGTTATCTGGCTCAGAACTCATAGTTAGGCATTTTGTAGGATAAGCTTTCCAATATTCAATTTGAAGCAGATTTTAAAAGTAATTTATCATTTTATATTTGGCTCTCTATTAAATTTTCTCCAATAAAGCTTAGCTATAATCTAAAAGGCATAGTTGTGTGTGTATATGCATGTGTGTTTGTGTTTTAAATATATGTGAAGTTTTAAATATATGGGTATTTTAGCAGTTAATGTAATTTAATTGACCAAATTATATAATTTTAACAGATATTTGTTCGTACGATGTCTCTTGATTTTCCTTAGTTGTACTCACATTGATCATATTCACTCTTTGCACACAAGCCAAGGGAGAAGACTGGAGCTAGCATAGGGAAGCTGGAATAAATACCTCTTTAGGAGGTGAGCAGAGTCCAGCGAGTGTGGCTCAGTTGGCTGAGTGTTGCCCCATGCACCAAGGGGTCGCTGGTTTGATTCCCAGTCTGGGCACATGCTCGGGTTTCAGGCTTTGTTGATGTTTCTCTCTCTCTCTCTCTCTCTCTTTCTTTTCCTCCTCCCTCTCTCCCCTCCTCTTTCTCTAGAATCAATAAAAACATATATATATTTTTTAAAAAGAGATGAGCAGAAAGGGATGGAAATGTAATGGAACCAAGTTCTAACAATAAGTGCTAAAATATCAACTCACATTTGAAGAAACAAAATTGGAGTATGTCATCTTTACTTAAATTAAAGTGCATCTGTAGTTGTTAAATATATGCTATGTGAGATGCAGACATATGCTGCTTACCATATAGCAGATAAATTAATATAGACGTTCAGTTATGTGAATGTGAAATTAGGCAACTTAAGGTTGAAGGATGAATGGATTCATTTTTTTTACCCGCATCCTAGAAGGTCTTTCTTTAGTGGCTCTCAGAAATATTGATGGCTGGGTGCTGGGACCATTTTAGTAATTTAGGCTGACTGAGCAGGAAGAGTGGGTACACTAAAATGTGTGGGAACATGATTATACCCCTTTTATAGTAAATTCTGGAATTGGGAGCATTTGATCATTGGGCAGAGTTCATACACCCTCGGAAGGTGACTGTGGCTTCCTCTTCTGCTTATTCTTCTGCTTGTGCCACTGACACCTCCCTCACCCTCCTCCCATTTCCTCTTCACCTCTTTCTTATAGTTGCCCTCCCCTCCC